GCACCTTAGTGGGATTTGAACCTGGGACCTCTGGATTATGAATCTTCTGTATTACTTATTGCTACACCGCTTCTTCAATTGATAAGTATGTTATTTATTGTGTACTTCAATTATAATCACCTAATCCACCGCACGAAATTACATGAATACAATAAAAATATCATCATTTAATATATATAATGAAATATAAACAATTTACATTACTATGAGACGACATTGAGTAAGAGTCCAATAACCTACTTTCGCTTGGCCGATCTCGCGCCACAATCAGAATAATATTCGGGATGTGTTCGGTTTGATTTGCGAATGATAACATCGATCATTCTTTTATTTCTAATCAAAGAGAAAAAAAATTAAAAAATAAAAACATAACTGAATTATTTTTACGTTATTATAAAGTTTTTTGAATTTAGTTGGATTAAAAAAACCAACTGAATTTAGTTGGATTAAAAATTTCCTACTAATAATTTTGAATAAATTAAATAACATTTATGGTTCATTTTTAAACAAAAACTTTACTAGTAAAAATTTTTTTTATTTAATTGGATTAAAAAATTGCATTTCCTATTCAGAATTTTGAGCAATTCACGATGCACAGAAAATGCTAATATTAGTATAGATTAAAAGGCATAAAGATATGCTCCGTGCAATTCCTATAAATAAATAAAAATACATTCAGGATTGAAAAGGCATTTGCTTCATGTAATTCCTATAAATGAATAAAAATGCAATAAGAAAAAGCATTCATTGTAACATTCCTAAAAACCGTATTTCTGAAAATCTGAATCCATTCCAATCCATTCCAATCCATTCTTGTTCACTAGGTTATACATAATTCTTTTACGTCGATGTGATGTTTTGCGTTTTGAGCTCCAGAGCTCAAATTGGACAGACCTGTACGTGCTAGATCCTTGGGGCACGAGCGTGCACATGACGAGCGTTTTACGCAAAGAATTAAACATATTGTAAGGGTGCGATTACATGTAGCGCGGTATGCGATATGCGATACAGTAACTAAGTAACTATACCGCGCAAACCGTGCTGCTTGCTTTTTTTCTCTGTTATTACATAAAGTAAGCCGCGATAAGCGGCACGGGCTAGTGATACATTCACGTTACTAAGCTATTTTTTAATAGAATTAATTGATTTAAATGCAATTATTAAATAAATACATTGAAAAAATAAGAGTATTGATGAAATGTGCATAGAAATAAGTTAATATATTAAAAAAAATTCATATTAAAGTTAATTTGTCACTAGCTTGTCCCATGCTTACTGCACTCCATGTAATAGGAGGGAAAAGAAGCAAGCGACATGGTTTGCGCGATACCTACCTAGCAAACGAGAATGGATTGAAATGAATTGAAATGGATTCAGATTTTCAGAAATATTGATTCGCGAATGTTAAAATGAATGCTTTTCAATCCGAATGCATTTTTATTCATTTATACGAATTGCATAGAGCATATCTCTATGCCTTTCAATTTAAAAATAATATTAGCTTTTTCTGTGCAAAACAACACAATTGTGAATATTGTTTAATTCAAAATTTTGAATAGGAAATGCAATTTTTCAATCTAGTTGCATCCAATTGAATCTAATTGAATCCAATTGAATTCAATTAAATCCAAAAAAGTATTCGCTATATTTTTAAAATACGCATTCGGATAGAAAAAAATTTCAATCTATTTTAATTCATTCTTGTTTATTGGGTAGCTACTTGTTTATAGATACCTAGTTAGATTCTGTATACGTACCGCATACTGCGTACTGCGTTACATGCAATCGCATCCTAAAAGAAGTCTGTCAGTGAGTTTCTGTTCCTCTGATCCATGTCCTCTACATGAGTGAGTCTACACTAGGTATATACTTTTATATATTATATATATACTTTATTTATTATATACATGGTATATACTATATAAATTTATTTACAGTTTTTCAGCATATTAACATCTTTCTATATATGATATCAGATTGAACATCAAAAATATTAAAATTTGCTTGTTCAATTTAATTTAATTTGTAATATTATTACAGTGTTGTTTAATTGCGTTTATAAGTTCGGAAAATCTGGCGCGCAGTTCGAATGACTATAAATATAATATATACGAATGTAACGCAAGATTTACAATTCAAAGGTCCCAAGTTTGAATTCCTAAGGTGTGTTTTTCAAAACTAATTTGAAATGTTAAGTTAGTTAATTTCAGGTATAATTTCTTTAAATATAAGAATATTTAAACCTGTAATAGTCAAAACTAGATTTTTATTGCTTTAAATAATTCAATGTGAATTATATAATATATATTATACAGAGTGATTTTAACATATTTCGTCACCCATCATGAGCAGGTAGAATGAATCGAACTGAATCGAAAAGTCATCTACCATTTTGCAGTTTACGCAATAGTTAACGAAATATTAATTACTAAAAATTACCAAATATTGGTCTTGAATAATTTTTCTCAAATATTATCAACATTATAGAAAAACTGCAAGAGACAATAATCATTTTCTTCTCATAGAACTCTAAAAATTTTTTCAGAATTTTTTATCAACTTTTTAGTACTGCATTTTCTTATTTTCACCAACATGAGAAAATATGGTATTAAAAAATTCTGAAAAAATTCGCTGAACTTTATGAGAAGAAAATAAATGATTTTTGTCTCTTGCAGCTCTTGTTAACTATTGCGAAAATTGCAGAATAGTAGAGGACTTCTCGACTCAGTTCGATTCACTCTATCTACTCATGATGGGTGACGAAATATGTTAAAGTCATCTTGTATATGCACCGACTAAAAGGTTAATGCCGACGATACTGTAATTTTCAAGTCTTATAACTCGAAAAGTACTTCATGAAAAAATATTTTATTATAGTGTTTTGGAAAGCTCTTGAGATGTGCTACAAGAATATGCAAAAAAAGGGGGATTCCATTTAAAAAATTCACCTTGACCTAATCTTGATAGTACCCCCTATCCAAAATCTGTTATTTCTACTTTTTTTCCCCCTTTTTTTGAAATCTACAACTTTTATGTAAAACTTTTTCTTGTATTTCTAGTTTCTGAGATATTCGCCTGAATATCCCACCTTGTATATTGTTTTTATATTTTACATGAAATAAAAGGTAACTAGTTCCCATATTTGTCGCTATGGGTAACAAAATCATTACAGAGGCCTTTTGGTCTATAATTAAAAAGAAATAAAAGATCATAGCTGAATTATTTTTACCTTACAACCTTTTTTTTTGAACGTAGTAATGGATTAAAACAAAAGTTTCCTATTCATAATTTTGAATAAATTAAGTAGCATTTATAATCTATTTTTAAATAAAAATAATTTTTTTATTCAATTGAATTGAGAACTGCATTTTCTATTCAGAAATTTGAATTGAGTAGTATTTATGATGCACAGAAATGGCTGATATTATTTTTAGATTCAACTGAATTAAAAAATTGCATTTCCTATTCACAGTTTTGAACAATATTCACGATGCAAAAAATGTTAATATTATTTTTAGATTAAAAGATGTAAAAATATGCTCTATGTAATTTCTATAAAGAAATTAAAATGCATTCAGAATTGGAAAAGATTCATTTTAATATTCGTGAATCCGTATTTCTGAATATCTGAATCCATTTCTATCCATTCTCGTTTGCTAGGATGTGATATTACTATAATATATATATTCTAGTTCTGTTCATAATTGCGTTTCAAAACCAAAAAAGGCTCACGGTTTGCAGAATTGGATATGTATACATGGCGTCACAAATATCTTAACATACAAAATTGCATGAGAATCGAAGGAGGAACAAGGAGACCACCTATATTACCACCGACTAAACCATATAATTTTTGTATAACAATTATTTTTTCCTCTTTTACAGATTCGAAAATCCTTTTCCAGGATTAAAGTATAATACATGTATTAACCCATTAAGGCCCATGTTTAATACAGCTATGATAACGCTGTATTAAACATGAGCCTTAATGGATAACCAAACTGAATACGTGATAGCATAAGCGAAAAAAAAATTACCCGTGTTTTTTCGTTTTGCGAAATCGATTATTTAAATAATAATTGTTTAAACAAATTGTTTAAAAATGCCTATTTTTATTTAAAAAACTAAAAATGTCGTTTGAAAACAAGAAACTTTTATTCTTGGTATTTTTTCGATCCGGTATTTGTTTATGTAAAAATGATATTTTTAAATAATTTGTTTAAACAATTTTGTAAAAAGAAAAAACACGGGTAATTTTTTTCGATATCTAATTAAATCGTTAATGTTATACGAAAATTTATGTATATGTGTAGCATACGTGAATGAGATATTAATGTAGTAATATCTAATGATGTGTCAGTGACACGTAAATCATCTGTAAAAGTCCTGCTTATACAATGACTAATCATCTATTTGTGATGCTATATGTACATAAATTCACATCAAAATATCTAAGTACTAGATCTGCTCTCACCAAAAATAGGATTTGTCTCATTTAAATAATGAATCTGTTTTTTGTGGCTGAACTACGCTTTTGGAATATAAAGTGAAATGGGTATATATTTCGCGAAAGCAAGAAAGAGAATTTTTAATGCAATTTAGTGTAGGAATAAAAAAACAGACTTAATATTTCATTCAAACGGATCAGTTTAGAGCAGTGGTGGGATTTACTTGCACATTTCAGCTGATTTTCAACTTGGTTCATGCCCCTTACTTTACCAATCCGCGCGCAGCCTAAATGCCGATCGGCAAATAAATCCCAGCACTGTTTGGAGAAACAGATTATTCACTGAATTGCTGTTGCTTACGGAAATAAACATTGATTAGACTAAGTAATTTTTTTAATTAAACTTATATACTACATATTAGAAAAACTATACGAAAAAATATATTTTTTCGTGGAAAAAAATTATGTCAATGTTTAAATTAATTATACCAATGTCTTAATAGAAATTATGCAATTTATATGTTTTATTATAAAAGGACGTATTCTTACATACCCTCAATGTGGCGATATCTTGGAACTCGTCGCAGTCTATAAGGGTTTGAATCATAGTTAAGGTTGCGTCCAAAGGAAATACTCGATCCCTCGAACTGCTAACTGCATTGTCTAACCTTTGTCGTAAGTGTACCACCTTAAACATACAAAGTTAATATATAAAATCTATCCACATGATCTTCTTTTATCAAAGATAATACACTATTTGCATTTGTTAAATATTTTAGTTATGCATCTAAAAATATTGATAAAATCAATAATAATTTTCTCAGACGTATATACATTGCTGTTTGAATCAATTTTTGTCAGTTGTACATATAGCATCTCACATGTCGGGCTTTCAATCATGTTTATATGACCTTGAAATTTTTTTATAAAGCGAAAAAGTTATTCTAAAAAGATTCGCACGTTAATTCCGTCAGCACTTCCTCTGTTGCGCGAAATTCGAGCGCATCCAATCGATAGACTAAACCTTTCACTAACCTTTTGGATCTCAAGACATTTCCTCGAGGTCGGATATGGAGTGTATGTGAGCGAGATAGAAGAATAGAAAGAGTAGAGAAAAAGAAAGCGAAAGAACCTATCAAGTTGGTTTCTGACATCGGGGAAAGCTAGTCGCTTTGTCGGATAAGGTTCATGCATAAGTGACTATCTCGTGGAGAACCGTGGGACACGTTTGCAGTTGAAGGCGCTTGACATGAGGAAAGGATCAAAGTTTCGCGGGGGATACAAGCGAGAAGATATACAGGAGAGGACGCGCAAGAAGGAGAGGGAAGGTGAGGTCACTGTCCCCCGTGCAGACTTTCACGAGTTACGAAACCGCCGGAGAACTGCCCGTCCTTGGCACCGGCTGCCGCTGATTTTCTATTGTCTCTACCTGCGTCGCTCGCTATGACGTTTCCAAGCAGTGATGATGAACAAATTGACGTGATACTTCGTTATGATAAAAAGATATTCGATATTATTTCAGTAGAAATTAGTAAAGTTCATCGATATAGCTGAATTATGTGCAGCATGGTGTGTTTAAAAATATATTAAATGATAAATTTCGATTCTGTTTGATAATTTCTTTTTATAATAATTATTAGCGAATTGTAACGAAATGATATGCATGTGAGAAATATAAATATATATATTTGTATTTAATAGAAATTATATGCCTCTTCAGTTTCGGGAACAAGAAAAAGTCACAGAGGGCCAGATCTGGGGAATACGGTGGCTGCGGCATCATTAGTGTGTTGTTTTTGGCCAAAAATTCGCGCACAAGCAACGATGTGTGAGCAGGGGCGTTATCATGGTGCAAAAGCCAATTTCGCGGCGACCCATCTTATGCCCAAATCATTGGTAAAAATCGAATGGCATGAGCCAATCGATATGTTTAGGTCCTCAGCAACTTCTCTAACGGTGATTCGACGATTGGCCAATACTATTTTCTTCACTTCATCAATGTTTTTGTCTGTTGTTGACATGCTCGGGCGTCCGGCACGCTCTTCGTCGTTCACATCTTCTCGGCCCTCTGAGAAGCCCTCTTTTGTACCACCGATAAACGTTGCTTCGGTCCAAGGTAGAGGGTTGCTTCACCATATGCCACAGTCAACATTCGGAATGCGTCCGCGCACTTAATTTTGTTTTTCACACAAAATTTGATACAGATTCTTTGATCCATTTTTTGGAATAGGCAAAAATCGAAGACGAGCCAAAACATGTGCAAGCAAAGCAGCTGTCAAAAATTAACTGAACATTCAAAATGGCCGAACTTGTCGGCATAAATGAGAGACATGAGTACCAACATAACGCTACAAAAAAATCGAAAATAATATACGTAACCCGCGGAAATTCAAAATTCGCGATACTTTTTGAACAGACCTCGTATGTATGAAATATATGTTTCAGATATGTATATCTTATAATCTCCATTTAATATAATTAGATTATAGCAAAGCTTATCTTTTTTTCTAAATATTTAAAAATATCTAAGATATTTAGTAAAATTTAATGAATATTATATAATAGAGTAATTCTCTTTAAAAGCTCTCTAAATATTTATATAAAATATTCATAATTAATAATTTAATTAAAAATTAATTTTATAGAAATTTTATGTGCAAAATATCTTCTGATAAAATAAAGATAAGAATTAGTCTTCACAATAGCTGCACTGAAATTAAATAAATAGTCAAATAATTTTTTTTCACATTATTTTCGCAAAAACAATAAATATTCTTCTTCTTAAAGAAAGCCCGTTCCGTTGTTTGCGATTTTTTTTCTTATCTTATATAAAATTCACTTTGAAAACGTGATTTCATTGTGCGATGATTCGACCGCGGCTCGAAAGTGACCTCTTTAATGGAGCACCACCATGGTCAATATTTATTCGGTTTTATCGGCATCGGTTTCACTTTTGGCAATGGCCTCTACCGGACCATTTGAACGATCGCGACAGTTCCTTCGTTTGCTCATATAATCAGACGTAACACGCATAATTTTCCATTACTCACGCTAATCGTCCCACTTGAGAAAATCGAGAAGATGATATTTTTAGTATACCAAAATTGCAATATAGGAAAAATTAATTTTATTGAAAGTAAATTTAGTTATGAAATTATAATTTATAATTGATATATATATACATATATATACATATATATATATATACATACATACATACATACATACATACATACATACATACATACATACATATATAATATACGGCTTTCAAATGATTTCAGTAAATAATTTTTTACTATATATTGTAATATATTTCATCAATTAATTATCATAAAGATCTGTTTACGTCATTTGTAAAAAACTACATACATAATATTGAAAAACATTGCTTTACAGAGAGACATAGAGGACAAATCAATAAATACCCGTGTTTCAAGATAGGCGACGTTGCTGATGCAAGTTAGTCTTACCATCGTATACTACCATCTTTCAAACGATGCCATATAAAATTTCAGAGTGATTCATGCAATAGTCTTGACAGCAATTCGTAATGTTTGATGTTTTCCGATACAATGGAAAAAGAGCAATATCGATCCGTGATTCGTTTCTCATTTTTGGAAAAACGTGCGAAGAAAAACGAAGATTGGATGCCGTTTATGGGAACTCTTCACCATCTATGACAAATCTGTCATATATTAGTTCAATGAATTCAAACGTGGTCGTTCGTCTATTTTTGATGAGGAACGCCCAGGCCATCCTGGAGACGTGGTTATTGAGGAAATCGTTGAAAAAGTCCACGACATAATTCTCGCTGATCGCCGAACGAAAGTGCACGAAGTAACAGAGGCTGTAGGCGTGCCGTACGGAATGACATTTAATATTTTGCATGATAACTTGGAAATGAAAAAGCTGTCGGCTCGATGAGTGTCGCGATTGCTCACAATGCACCGGCTCACTCCTCCGCAATCGCCACAGCCACATTGGTCGAATTGCGCTACGAATTGCTGCCGCATTCACCGTACTCTCCGGATTTAGTCTCCTGTGACTTCTTCTTGTTTCCAAACTTGAAAAAATGGCTCGGTGGAAAGAAATTCACGTCGAATGAGGAGGTCATCGCCGAAACAGAGGCCTATTTTGCAGAGTTCGACAAATCATATTTTTCTGAGGGGTTAAAAAAATGGCAGAAGCGTTGGGAAAAGTGTATCCTCCTAAAAGGGGATTACATTGAAAAATAAAAAAAAATTTTGTGAAATGCTTGCGTCTTCATTACTAATATGAGTACTTATTGATTTGCCCTCGTTATAAATAATTTTGTAAGTCATACAAGAATCTCGTATTATATAAGAAGTGTATAGATGAACACAAATGCAACAAGGATTGACTGATTCTCACGAGCATGCTATTCGCTCGTTTTATCTATTGGCTTTCGTGTGGGAAATCTTGAGGCTTGCACAAGCTGAGTCATAAGAAAGTGAAATTGTAACGGTGAGTTCATTCATTCCAAGATCGGTGCGGAGAAAACCGCTCGACGCATGTCGAATTTGCTATTTGCCTCGTATAGTGCCACTATTACTCAACGATTCATCAAGATGCATTAAGATGCATCAAAGATATTTTACATTTTTAATACAAAATAATGACTAAAGTTAAATTTATATCTTTCTTAAAGATTATAATGCAATTATATTTTGAAAAGATATACAACGTTATAATCGTATTCCAATATACACTGCCATTGAAATCTATAGTATACAGAGTGTCCCATTTTAATGTCACACCCCAATTAATTTTTTCTTTTTTATCTTAGAAAAAAATGTTTCAGACAAAAGTTGTACGGCTTTGAGGGGAACATAATGGTGCCATTAGTTTGACTTTGAATAGTTGCTTGAAGATCACGTGAAAGTTATCTTCAATTTCTTAAATCCCCTACTGGAATCCCCTTCTTTTCATTACACATTCTTATAGATCATTTCGAGAGCTTTCCAAAACACTCTAAGTTCATTTTCATTAGATACTTTTCGAGTTATAAGGCTTGCAAATTACAACCGGCATTAGCATTACCCAAGGTATCTGACCGATGGCTAAAACCTCTTGAATGTTATTTAAGATTATGACCTGGATAACATTTGTCAAAATTAAGGTCATTGGAGATTGTTCCTCTTATTTCGATTTTTGCTAAAAATTACATTTTTACGTAAAAATGAAAATAAGAGATACGAGATGTGGCTATTAAATAACGAGACTGACGCTGCAGAAGAAGTACGCATGCGCCAAACGCCAGCGACCGATAGCTGTTTAGCGTGAAGCCTTCTCTTTCGAATGCAGTACCTCTCGCTTCTGTAAACAAATCCGTATAGCCGTAGCCTTCTTTCGCATTAGAGTTGTTTTTTTGTTTCGCCGGAAAAATGATAAATGTAACAATAGAGCAACGAATTGTTGTGAAATTTCACGTGAAACTTGGAAAAACCGCTACTGAAACTTATAATTTATTGAAAGAAGTGTATGGCCATGAATGTTTATCGCGTGCACGTGTTTTTGAATGGTTTAAGCTTCCAAGACGGCTGAGAAGACGTTGAAGATGATTCACGTCCGGGTCGCCCTTCCACGTCAAAAACGGATGACAATATCGAAACAGTCGGTAATCTGGTTCGATCCGACCGTCGGTTAAGTATTCGTGCGATTGAT